AGGAACGGGAGGAGGAGGGCCGAGGGAGAAGAGAAAGAGAAGGGAGAATAGGGCGAGAGTGGGAAGCGCGAAAGGAGAGTTGAATAATACTGGGGAGGAAGCGAGGACGGAGATGTGTAGGCGGGGATGGGATGGAGCAACAGGGCCGGCGCCCAGGATTTTGCTGCCTGAGAAAAACAAAATGGCGCCCCTCCTGTTCCGTATCCGAGAGCCGTTTGGCAGTCAGGTCTTTTTTTTTCCCCCATGCTGATGATGGGAGAGCATTCACAGCTTAGGGAGGCATAGGGGAACCCCCTCTGGAATGGGCCTCACTCCTCTGACGGTTTGCTTTTGTCCCCCTGCGGTAGGGCCTGCCTTAAGAGCCACTGTACGTACCAGCCCCCGAAGAAAGAAGGGTGGCTGAAGTGAAGAAGAGGGAGAAATTGCCTCTGGAAGTTGAGGGTGAATAAAAAATAGAGGTAGAGAAGAAAATGGCACCAGGACAACAATTCGGAAGAAGAGACAGAAGAAGAGCGAGGGCCAGTAGTTCAAGCCAGCTTGATAGAGGTGCAAAGATTTTAGGCATTATAAGTTGTCCTAGGAACTTCAATAGTTAGAAGAGAGTCAGTAAAGAGGTGGAAAGTAAAAAGAAAAGATGAAGAGGAGCCCGGCAAAAATGAAAAATGAGTGAGCTTCAATCACAGTACTAGTTCTGAAATAGCGAAAAGTCTTGTAAGCCGTGTAGGATATCTGGTTGCTCCCAGTTAACTTTTGTGGCCATCAGTTGAGGCTGATTTAGAAGAAAAGCAAATAAAGAGAGTCCAGTTGTGGCACGGAGTTAGGAAGTCGAATTCTTTCTCACTAGTGTGAGTACTGAAGGATCTGGAGGTGAAAGTGTAAAAATTGCAGCAGTAGACATGTAGTGACAGATGTGGGCAGTTAGGGTCTGCTCTTCACAGAGGGAAGAAATCATGAAAGAATGCAGTAATAGTATTTTCATTATGAAATATAGGCACTATGTGATCTGAGAGTTCATTCATCTCTTCAAAACACTTTCTACAGAATGCTTAATCAAGATTGCAATGTATTTTAACACAATAAATTGATGAATAAAGCAATCTTAATGTGAAATATAATATCTGTTCAACATTTTGGTCCAGCAGTACTGCTACAAACTAAATAAGAATACAATAGAAAAGGGCAGTAGCAAGTGAGAATGGGCCAAGATGAAATTTCTGTCTCCATCATGGGGCTCTTTTAGAGTTACAAAGCCATGTACAGTAGCTTACACTGTAGATCAAGTCCATGGACTGTGGTTTCAGAAGAAATCTGGTGTACTTTTAGAATATGCAGTTGTTGTTGCTTAGTCGTTAAGTCACATCCAACTCTTCATGATCCCATGGACTAGAGCACACTAGGCCCTCCTGTCTTCCACAGCCTCCTGGAGTTTGGGCAGATTCATGTTGGTAGCTTCGGTGACACTGTCCAACCATCTCATCCTCTGTTATCCCCTTCTCCTCTTGCCCTCACATTTTCCCAGCATCAGGGTCTTTTCCAGGGAGTCTTCTCATGAGATGGCCAGAGTATTGGAGCCTCCGCTTCAGGATCTGTCCTTCCAGTGAGCACTCAGGGTTGATTTCCTTCAGAATTGATCTCCTTGCAGTCAAGGGGACTCTCAAGAGTCTCCTCCAGCACCACAATTCAAAAGCATCAATTCTTTGGCGGTCAGCCTTCTTTGTGATCCAGCTCTCACTTCCATACATCCCTGTTGGAAAAACCATAGCTTTGACTATGCGGACCTTTGTTGGCAAGGCGATGGCTCTGCTTTTTAAGGTGCTGTCTAGGTTTGTTATCACTATTCCAGGTTCCTATGCAGTATTTTTCTTTGTAGCATCGGACTTTCCTTTCACTTCCAGGTGCGTCCGCAGCTGAGTGTCTTTTCGGTTTTGGCCCATCCACTTCATTAGCTCTGGAACTACTTGTGCTTGCCCTCCACCCTTCCTCAGTAGTATGTTGGACGCCTTCCGACATGAAGGGCTCATCTTCCAGCTTCATATCTTTTATCCTTTTGTTTCTGTCCAAGGAGCTTTCTTGGCAAAGATACTGGAATGGCTTGCCAGCTCCTGCTCCAGGTTGATCACATTTCATCAGAACTCTCCACAATGACCTGTCTGTCTTGGGTGTCCCTGCACTGCATAGCCCAGAGCTTCTCTGAATTACTCAAGCTCCTTCGCCATGACAAGACAACAATCCATGAAGGGGTATGCATAGCTCAGGAAGTTCTCAGACAAAAGCTTTGTAGTTTACATTCAACTGTTATTGCAGTCTTCTATAACAAAACACATGGTCAAAATATGTACAGTGCCCAAATAATGATTTTATACTCATGTAAATGACTATTTATTTATTTATTTATTTTTATTTATTGTATTTATATCCCGCCTATCTAGTCATTTCGACCACTCTAGGCGGCTTACAACATAAAGGATAACAAGTTCAAGAAACATTTATAACAATTAATTAATTAAATGATTCTGCAAGATGGGAAAAATACAAAATAAATCAAATAAAGAGAAAAAGAATAAAAAAGGAAAGAGGACAGGAATTAACTGGAAGGGAAGGCCTGCCTATACATCCACGATTTTAGTTGGTTCTTAAAAGTACGGTGACACGGGTAGAAATAGTTGGGAGTAAGCGTTCCGCCAAGTATCGAGGTCCTAAACTGTTTAGGGCTTTATATGTAAGCATTAACACTTTGAAGTCAATGCGGAAACGGATGGGCAGCCAGTGCAGCATGGCCAGAGTAGAAGAGATATGTTGGTATTTTCTCAGTCCAGTAAGGAGTCTGGCCGCCGCATTCTGCACCACTTGAAGTTTCCGCATCAGCTTCAAAGGAAGCCCCACATAGAGCGCGTTACAGTAGTCTAATCTAGAAATTACGAGTGCATGTACTAATGAGCGCCTCCGTGTCTAGGTAAGGTCGCAGCTGGGCAATCCGCCAAAGACAATTTGATGTGTCTGTCTGGAAGTGCATAGGGTAAGTATGAAGCTACTTTAGTTCACTGTTCAGAAGTATATGCTGCTACATTTCTGATCCATTATGTGTAGATTCATTGGCAAGAGATGCACCATCTAAACAAATGCATGTATGCTCCTCTGTCCTGTCTTCCAAATAGACTTTCTGGTTAAAACTGTGTAACCAATGTTCTGGTTATGTATTTTAGATTTTCCTACTGTTTGGAGTGCAGCTACCATGAAGGAGAATCTGTCATCATTCAGTTGACCCGGGTTTCATTTAAAGGAGGTAGGTGAGACAATGTCTGCCCTAATTCAGAATAGTGGGCCAAATTACCATTGGTGTCGTACAGCATAAGACTTTTCTGTTGCTTGTGCAAATGAAGCTCCTAGGCAAAATTCTGTTCTTTCCATGCCATTTGACTTGCAATCTTATGATAGCTAGACTACTTATGAAAAACTCTAATATTGTTCAGTTTAGTTCAAAGTAATAAATGACTCTCCTATGGTGTGACCACACAGAAGTTTGTCCAGAGTTGATGTTAATTTCCCTGTACTACACTCGGGTATTTGAGTTGCTGATATGGTTCACACGGAATATCCCAGGAAGATATGTTTTAAGTGTTGACACATCACACAACCTCCTTCTCTTCTACTCTTATTTGTCATCATCATCATCCTATTACTCACCCCTTTTGCCAGTACTGAAATCTCTCTCTTTTTCATGTTAAGCATGTGAAATAGTGCTGAGTTGGCAAAACAAGATAAGCGTTTGAATTAGTTCTGTATCAGTTTAGCACTATAGTTTATTATAAACTGTAAAAAAGAGGAATGTAGAGGGGTAAGATTCACTTCTTTCCCAGGCCCCAATCTGTGAACCATCCATTAATGATGGTGTTTGGACACACCAAGCAGTGACCCTAAAGAACTGATACAATGAATTGTATAAACCAATTAATGTGAGTGAAGACGGTACAAAGAAAAAAACCCAACAAAACAAAATCCCTAAAGAGACCCTGCTGGCTGAAGAAAATATATATCCTACTCATACAAAAGATCAGATCTACTTGTGATTAGTACTAATATGAAGTTCTTAAACTAAATATTGAAAGGAATAGTGAGAAACATGGCATAAATAGTGAGATAAATACTTGTCAAGTCATTTCGTTACATTATTTTTGAATAGCTGTTTTAAAATTATTCAGCATTTCTCCCTCTTTGAAAGAACAGCAAAAATTAGAGTTTGGATATGTTATTTTCAGGTGTTGCAATTTCTAGAATGGCCCAGCCAGCATGATTGCTGCCCTTGCTGTCTGGGAGTTCTGGGAGCTGTTGTCCTAAACTTTTGCAAGTTTTGGCAAGAATAGAAAACCAATTTACTGTAAAACTTAAAGGAAATCTGTTACAATCTAGGGCAGATTTGTATTCTGAGAGAAAATCCAAATACAGTACTGTATACTAGACTTGACTGGTTTTTGTTTCTTGGGAAACACTCTTGCTCCATCTTGTGGACTCTCTTGTTTTCCTGCTGAAATGACTTTATAATTACTTTGAAAGCCTGATTGTTATCTGAAATAATGAGGGGAAATTGTTTATGTTTTCAGCAATACAGTAATAGTAATTATATAATAATCATATTGTATCCTGTGACGTCAATTTTTGACATATGGCAACCCTTTTCAGAGTTTTCTAGATAGAGAGTACTTAAAAGTGGTTTACTGCTCCCTTCTTCAGGGGACATCCTGGGACTCTGCAGTTTGCACTTGACTGCACATGCTGGCTAGGCTCGCAGGAGGCACAGAAGAGAATCAAACTCCCAACCTCTGGCTCCACAGCCAGATGCTTAAATCACCCTATCCAAGCACAATAATAATATAATAATCATGTGCTCTCAAGTCAATTCTGACTTACGGTAACCCTTTTCAGGGTTTTCTAAGTAGAGAATACTCAAAAGTACTTAGTTGCCATCTGTGGAATAGTGCTGTCATCTGCTTGTTAGTAGTAGAGGAATGTATTGTTTCAAATAGTAATATGTTGCTCATCCTTCAGGGGTATCTCCAATCAAAGACTCTGTAAATATGTGTTTACAAATGTTATTAAGGGAAAAAAGCCTAGGTATGGCAGTAAAGTGACTCTATACTTCAACACAGATCCTAGACAGTATCCCTTCCAGATACACTGGTGCCTCGCATTACGATGTTAATTTGTTCCAATGAAATCGCTGTAGAACGAAAACATTGTAAAGCGAAATTAAAAAGCCCATAGAAACTCATAAAAACCTGTTTAATGCGTTCCGATGGGCTTAAAACTCACTGTCCAGTGAAGATCCTCCATAGGGCGGCCATTTTCGCTGCCTGTCTTGCGAGGAATCAGTCCCTAAACACAGCGAGGAGCCATTTTATTTACCTGGCAGTCATTTTGAAACCACCGATCAGCTGTTGGAAAATCGTCGTTATGCGAAGAATCAGTTCCCGAAGCAGGGAATCGATCATCGCAAAGCGAAATTCCCCCATAGGAAACATGGTTTTACGATCGCAAAAGCAATTGCAAAAAGTTCATCGTTATGCAATTTCGTCATTAAATGAAGCGATCGTAAAGCGAGGCACCACTGTACTCTAATAGAGCTCCAGCCATACCTCACCATTGGCTATGCTGGCTAGAGCTGATGGCAGACCCACACCATGTGGAGGGACACATATTTCACACCCCTAAGCTAAAAATAATTGATAGAAATTTATGGACAAAGACTTCATTTGTGAGACTAGCTCTTTAGTATTTCCTTTTGATAACACTTTTAAGGACCTGAGCTGGTAGCCATTCTCCTGAGAAATGTGGTTTCTGACTTAGAAGCCTCTTCAAGACAATGGATTTCCTTCCTGGCTGCCTTCCCACAAGTGCAGCGCCAAACAGAATTGTTCCTTTTGATGGCTGAATAAGAGTGAAGGCAATTCCACTAACATTTTGGCTATTTAGAGGCAGGGGCCCTTCCAGAAGTAAGATATTATTTTCCTTGGGTGTGACCTTCTCCCCAACTAGTGCTTGTAGTACTGTTCTGAGACTTCATGGACAGAAAACAAGGTCAGGCCTTTTGGGAATAGGAGCAGTGTGACAAGATGGGATCTCTCCAGCCAAAATATTACCTTGATGGGGCTGTTTTTCTTTTGTCTCCTGGAAGTTGTCAGATTTCAGCACTGTTTGTTTTATTGTGCATTATATGTTTGAGGAGCCAAGTGAGTGAAGTGTGATGTTGCTGTGTTTGGCAGTGTACGATGGCAGGTATGGCAGTGGAAGACTTACAGGAGAGAGATGCTTAGAGAGGTTAAGGTGATCCCAATTTTGTTCTCTTGCCTCGCTGAAGTTTTACTGGTGGCCATGTGAAATTTTACTGCATAGCTGCTGCTTAGTTGAACTGGCAAGCAATGTTTGTGGCCTGATCCTATTTGTGGTGACACTGACTAGCATCTGAGTTGCTGTAAAGGACAGAAAACAAGATTCTCCTAGGTAGCCCTTAAATTCTGCAAAAAAATTGTAATAATAATATTTGTATCTTTTGTTTAAAGAATTCTGTCCAGAGCAGTGCACAGACATGATATGTTCCCCTTGCATTGCATGTAAACTACTAAAAATATATGCTTCACTCTTCCCTGCATCTTCTTTCAAAGGGCATTCAATACTTAGTTTTCAAACAAGTAGCCATGTGCTACCATATCAGACAAAAAAAAAGATAGAAACGTTATGGACTAACTGCTATATTTTAATGTGAACTTTATGTCTGAAGAAGTGGGCTTCATCCAGAAAAAGGTCATATTAAATATAGCAATTAGTCTTTAAAGTGTCACAATGTGTTTTTTCTCTCTCTCTTGTCTGGTATTCTTTCAAAGGGCAGTTTCCTTAAAATATTCTGGCTGATTTTATTTCCCCAGTAGGTGGTGCTCTTTAACAAGACAGCTTTGAATCCAGATGACGTACAAGATTTGTCACTCTGTTGTTGAACTTCATATTTGCAAGTTTGTGATGATGTTATATCCAAAATGATGGAGATTAAATATAGGCAGAATCAAAAACCAATTAAAATGTGAAGATAAATGAACCGTGCAACACTGATATGAGAAAAGAAAGAAGGATCCAAAATGGCAGTGCAATACATCTCTTGTTAGGTGCCTTCAAATGCTTATAGCAACCCCAGTGAGGTTTTCAAAGTACAGTGGTGCCTCGCTTAAAGATTACCTCGTTAAACGACAAAACCGCTTTACAATGAAGTTTTTGCAATCGCTATTAGATCGCAAATCAATGTTCCTATGGGGAAAATTCGCTTAATGATGATCGGTTCCCTGCTTCAGGAACCGATTTTTCCCTAGACGACGATTTTAAAACAGCTGATTGGCAGCTCTAAAATGGCCACCCGCTGTACAAAATGGCTCCCCCACCGTGCTTTAGGACGGATTCCTCGCTTTACAGGCACCGGAAAATGGCCACCCTATGGAGGATCTTCGCAAAACGAGCAGGTATTTTGCCCATTGGAACGCATTGAACTGGTTTTCAATGGGTTTCAATGGGTTTTTTAATTTCACTTGACGAGAATTTCGCTTAACAGCGATTTGAATGGAATGAATTATCCTCGTCAAGCGAGGCACCACTGTATATGAGATGTTCAAGGACTGTTGTACTATTGCCATTCCCCCCTCTGAGTTTCCAGGACCAAGCAGAAATAAGAACTGAGATCTCCTGAATCCAAGTCCAACACTTTATCTACTACACTGCATGATTCTCACAGTACGTTTATTGAGGTATAATCTGTAAATTTCAAAGAAGTTTGCTTAGGGTACCTCATTTTTGCTTTAACTGTTTAATATATAACAAGCGTACAAAGAGATATCCACAGTTGATCTAAAGTCCTTTCAATAGATTAACATTGATTCAAAATCATTTTCATTCCAAGATGTTAGACTAAAAGGCATTATAGCACACTAAAAATACTATTTTGCCACAGAAGTTTTGCCCCATTTATCATTTTGAAACAATAATCTATAGACAAAATAAGGTCAATTTGCAGGGTTTTTTTAAATGGAGAAAAGGTTATTTTTGTCTAGAGCAATCACATCAAGCAACAACAACAAAAGATTTAGTGGAAAATGATTAAACCATGTATTTTATTGATGGCATTTGGATCTTACAGGGAGAGGATTAATTTCTTTGTAATACCCACAGTGCTCAAGCTACTAAGATGCCCCTCCCTCAGTTCTAAGGAGCCAATTCTAGAGTCTCTTAATCATGACATATTCCAGATTGTAAGAAGACAGTGCGTATAATCTAAATAGATAGCTTGGGTGTCGCTTAATCCTTCACAGTTGGCAGTAGTAGTATTCATGAACTATGCAGGCCTGTTCCCTGGGAAAGAGCCCTCCAAACAGGGTGGCACAAAGCACTGAGCTGAATTCTTTACATTCTCTATAGACTCCTTTAAGCCTTTGGAACCTGCAGCTTCCCCTTCCAGGCTGGGAGCAAAATGGGCCGGAAATAGCAAAGATTGCTGTGAAAGATAATTTTCAAGTTTACATTTGACCAAGCGGTGAAAGCTGTTTTTCCTGAGGGGCAGTTTGAAAAATTTTGCCATGGTGTCCATGCCTGTGGCAGTCTTAACATTCCAGCAGAACTGCACATTTTGACCAATACTTTATGATCTTACACGCTTGCTTTTGCATTTTTATGATATTTGCTTCCTTTATGCGTATTATTATATTTGACTAAAATTATGACACCAGGCATACAGTACATATGTATATGGCCTGTTATGAAAACAATGTTTTAAAAACATTCTTCTTTACATGTGTATGTACAGCAGCTCATTGCACCTCCACCTAGGTTGCTGCTGTGACAACACCACTTGTTACAATTGCTGAAGGCTGCTGAACTTATTTTTAAGGAGAATCATGCTGCAGGCTTCCAGGGGTGTAACTCCCCTTAAAAGCAAGTCACCTGTCTCCCACAGGGGTTCTTTGCAGGGAAATAACCCAACAGTTTGGCCAGTGCCAACAAAGCAATTTCATAAGCAGTGGGGTGCCCAACAGGAACCACAAAAACAGCTGAGGGTGGCACATATCACCCACTTCACTAAACTATGGTTTGGTGAGTTATGTCCAGGCTACAGCAAATCTTGCACACACTCCTTCTGTCATTCTAGTGATACAAGTTTCAAAGCTTTAATTTTCTGATCCAGGTAAGTGTATCCTTCTATATTATCCAAACCAAACCAATTTCACAAACCATTGTACTGTATAAAAGTGTGTTCTTTAAAATCAATCAGAATTGAATTCAATCATTAGTGTTCATTCTGGATAATATAGCAAACCATAGAAGATGAAGGAAATCTTTGTGCCATTCTTTAAGAGAACCTGGGAGGGAAAATGCAAGGCTTGCTGTAGCTCAATCTTACTATGAAAAGCCATGAATTATTATCACACAGACAACTGAGCATAGCCAATGACTCTATATGAGTAATCAGTTCTCTCCACAATTGTAGTACAAATGCCATCAGCTCTTTTTTTCTGGCCAGAAAACAATTAATGAGTTCTTCCACTGATTTTTGCCTTTTGGGGAGATATTGTTCAGATAGTGCTAATGTGATATGCTAGTGTTGTTAGAATTTCCACTCTCTCCAAGGCATTCAGAAGTGGGCAGACATTATATCAAATGCAGGTGTGTGAACACTAAGATGTCATATGGTGGACAGCCTGTCTTGAAGTCCTAAGGCATGTCACATTTAAGAGGCCCCACGACATTACCAAAAATGCATTTTAAGATTAAGATTTTAACTAAGATTTTTTTCTTTAGAATCCCTAAACTGTATCTTACTTAACTTGCACTTAAACCAGGCGCTGATTGCTGTTTCACACACTCCACTTACTGGAGGATATTCTGAATGCTGATAATAAAGTGCAGGACAGTTATGGTTTCCTAGGTGTTACCTAGGTGTATTTTGGCTTTTCAATAACTGAAGACAGACTACTGCAAAATAATTAAATAAAGTATCTACTGAAATGTAAACAGCATCAAAAATGTACTGGAGGAAGTAAAGCACACAAGGTGATTCTTATGAGGAAAAAGGAGGAGTTCAAGTAGGTCCTTGGTTTTTATCTACAAAACATAAAATTTTATAATTCCTGGAAAAAAGATTACAATTTTAAAATCACTTCAAATGTTTAAATTGTCTTGATAGTTTTTGGAATTATTTTCAGTGTAAACTCCAGTCCCAATTCTTACTGTTTTATGGCTTTTCTAGTTTTTATGCATCTTATTCCTGTCTTGCAAAAATAGTAAAATGAATATATTATTATTATTCAACACGATCACCAGCAACACAACAACCAACCACCCAAACTATCCAACTATCCAAAACTACCCAACTACTCCAACAATTTGTCTCTGCAAGCTTGGCTAGCTTTATTCTTGGATCAACCAACCAAATTGGTTGTCACACAGCTGCCTCAATCAACTCAGCTGTGTTCCTTTGTAACATGTTGCTCTCTAAATCCTGATCCTGTAACAACTTATATACTGAATTGCAATGAACAATTCCCTAGGTTGACTTTGAGACCTGTCAAATACAATTAAAATACAAAATGTATGTACATTTCTGTAAACTAATCACACACATGGTCTAGAGGGGCGGGGTAAAAATCAAATAAATAAATAAAATAAATAAATTTTTGGTCACAGTATTTGCAAATCCAGGAGAGCAATTGCATTTACAATAGTATCAGTTACAAGCAAGATGTCATTTCAGAGATAACAGTAAGGACACGCAATGTGTTTTTACTTCACCTGTTTTCTGCCAGTGCCTTTGGGCTGCTATTCATTTATGGCCTGTGTGATGACCCTTGTGTTTAGCAATCAGCTAAAACACCTTATCCCTCTGCAGAAAATCATGCCAAGAAAGTAAAGCCTGCTAGGACTTTCAGTTGCTATGTCAACTTGAAGCCCCTTTGCAATTCTCTGTGTCTCGTGAGGATTTAGAAGTATCTTAAGTATACCGTCATGTGCCTTATAAAAACAAATATATAAAGCTGAGAAGCTAGCAGCATTCACTCCAGTCTGCTTTCTCTTCTTTCTGGCAGTGGCTCTGCAAAATCTACAGCCTGATATTGAAGATCAGTCCCACAGAATCTTTAAAGAAAACTTAATGCCCAGGTAAGAGTCTATTTTTCTACTTTAATTTCTTTGATATTAGGAAAAGACGCATTCAGAAAGTAAAAGGCACATTCTTTCCATACTACATTCTGTTGCTAGTTTTTATAATGTTGTTGGGGAAAAAAAGGACAGTTACATTAAACTTATATCACTGGTGCAGAGGAATTCATTAATTTACGGCCAAAGTTCCTTCCACATTTGTGTTTTCTTTATATTGCTTCTCTACAAGTTGTGCCCTCTCCTTAATTCTTGTTTGTATATTTTAACAGCATCCTCCCAACAGCTGCCTATTGAAAAATTTAATAGTTACGGTACTTATGTAAACTGGGCTTGTATACTTGTAGCTGTGCATATGGTAGTAGCCTTTTTTTGTTTAGTTGCACATTCAATGAACATGAAACGCAAGCAGAATTACTTGTGCACAAGATTACTGCCTGCCAGTCCTAAACATACTTTATAGAGAATGTGTTTTCTGACACTGAGAATATTAAGACTTTATAGCTTACTTCTGAGTGACTGAGTTTAGGATTCAGATGCTAGTCAAAAAAGTTCTCTGGTGTCTAACTACTTTATCACTGGATTTACTAATAAATATATCAGATATGCTTAAAGTAGACTATAATTAAGGCTGTTGAGTGAAGTTTATTGTTTAGCAGAGATAATGACTTACGGTCCTAGAAGCAATTCAAAACCACATTTTCTTTTACAAAGACCACATTGAATCAGTGAGGATTTGGCGAGCTGACTTTTCTGTAAGTTCCATTGATTCAGTGGGCCTGCTCTAGATGCAACATATTACAGTATTGGATTTGAACCAGAGCAGGATACCGTGTGTTGTTTAGTGGATAGAGTGATGAACTAGGATTTAGGAGACCTGGGGTTGAATTCCTGCTCCACTGTGGGAATTCAGACTTGAAAGAAATAAATTTCCTAAGGGACAGCAATACTTGACTGTTTCAACAAAAACAGTAATCCTTTGTCACTTTAGAAAACAATACAGTAAATGTATTATGCCATGAGCCTTTGCCAGCTGTAATCCACTTCGTATATTTAGACTGGATACATTGTCACATGTAAAGTCAAAGGCAGCCTGTTTTTTCTTTCTTTCTCTGCCTTAAAGATCTTTTCAGATGCACAAATCCCTTCCAATTGTGTGGAAAGAGTATTTAGGTCCATTCACTAAGAACTGTGTTCCAATACAGTTCTGGACCCTGCTTTTTCTACCATTAGTTTTCTCTCTAAGTGTTTTGTGAGTAAATAATTATGTACTCAGTAACACATTCTGCAGTTCTTGCTTCATTGGCTTAGCAGAGCTCTGAAGGTGGTGATATTACTATAAATCTGTGGGCTGCCTAATTTATTATTTATTTAAAATATTTTTACCCCACCTTTTTCATCCCCCAAGGTGGAGAGACAGTTCTGCTGTGTCTTCAACGTTTTTTGATAAAGCCAAAACAATCTCACACAACAAATGATTGCTAAAACTAAATACTCTTCCTTTTAAGCCCTTGAAATCATGATTGAAAAATATAAAGTCTGATAAATGAACTGGATTTCATTGGTGAAATAAATCCATGTTGAGATTCAGCATCTGATGTTAATAGAAAAACTCAAATATTCTGTCACCTAAATCCAAATTTGCATAGTTTCATATAGGATTAGAAAGGAGGATTAGAGCCTGTCATAATGTCCCTTTTATACTGTAGGCTCCAAACCAACCAGCTTGTGTCAAAAATATGGTACTATGAATGTATCATGACACCACTCATTTCTTAAAATGAGCTTTCTGAGCTCATTTTAGAGCTCAGAAAGCAGATAAGCTACAAACCGTTCCATAATTCTTGAACCATCCAAAATATCCTAGTGAAGAAATCTGAAATCACCTGTATCACATCTTCCACTACCTGTCAACAATCATATTGCACCTCCTTTTAATTTAAAACCACCATTCACATGGAAAGTGGAAATAAAGTAGTGACTACCAAGAATGTATCCCTAGAGGTCTTTCTGAGGTGGTAGCACTTAAGACTTGCATGTGCAGATCCCTTGTCACGTCAAAGGAATAACCTCAGGGACCTGCAATAATTGATGGGCTAATCTCCTTCGCCTGATTTCCCTCTTCATTTCCCTTTCACTCCGCCAAGCACATTGAGAAACAACACATTACAAATAACACACAGCACACATGCAGTGGCTTTCTCTTTGTTATGAGCGTTTGAAATGACCACCTCTGTAGTGAAGGCATGTCAAAAGCTGTTATCTGATGCCAGAAAGCGTTAAAGAGTACAAATCGTTGCAGATGCAGGAGAAAAGCAGTGTTTGGTTAATCATACGATACAGCCCACTTTTTTCTGTGTGCTAGATCTGCTGAACCAGGCCACTCTGGGCAGCTAACAACAAGACGACACAATATCAAAACATGATAAAAACAAGATAATACAAACATTCAACAGATATAATAACTAGTAGGATAAATTAAAACAGATAGCTATGAAGATAATAAAAAGAATGATGAAAGGATGGCAAAAAGGATGATAAAAGGGATATCTCAATCAAAAACTTAATGTTCAGGGAAATCCTGGTGGAATAGCCAAGTCTTCAATGCTCGTTTAAGCCCATCCAGCGAGGGTGCCAGACGAATTTCCATTGGCAGATTGTTTCACAGGTGGGGGTGTGTGACCGCCGAGAAGGCCCAGTTTCTTCTTTCTCTCTGGGTCTCCTTTGGGGTCAAGGCCCTCAATCGCCCCACCTGTGAAGAATGGCTATTACGGACAGATCTGACTGGAAGCAGGCGTTTTGCTAGGTGCTGCTTTACCTTTTCCTGCAGGTCCCATTAGCCACCAGCCAGAGTATAACAAAATGGTAAAGCAGAACAATCTTCAGTAATGATATAACCGTGCTACTTTTCTCTTTCAAATGCCTCCTCCCACCCAACATTGCCTCTGATTCTGTATGTCATTATTTGGGCTCAGATTTTATTACCCATGCCATGAAATTCTAAAATTTCATAAAAGAGCATAATGCAATATATCAAAATCTTTTCTTGGCCTGCCATTGGCGTCACATCATTTTTATATTGCAGGCCCCCAAACCATCAGCTTTTGAATTGATAATAGAGAAGTTATGAGTTCTGTGTGAGCCTTCACGCTTCCAACTTATTTCATAGCTCAGAAATCATTGGTTTTGTGATGATTGCCCCAGATTGACAACTGGATATGTGACCTGAGACAGCTTTGGCTGTTGATTTTTGTAGATTTTATAGTTTATCAAACAGCTTTATTCCACGCAGTCCATTCTGCATAGAGAAGATGATAAATATGTATTTGGAATATTGTTTTTTATTTAAGTGAACTATAGTGATCTGAGGCTCAAGTTTGGAAGTGCTTGCTAGATGAAAATTGTTTAAAAAATGAGACTGCCTTGAAGGACAGTGTTTAAAATAAGAGGTGGCTGCATGTAGGTTAGGGAGATGTCATTGCATAAGAAGACAGTGTCTTCAAGAAGGAATGGGAAAGCCCCTTTGATGATTTGGTCTGTTCAGTGGCCTTGGGTGGAAGAAAGGCTGTTAGGCTGGACCATGATGGGTGGTGAGCAGAGGAGATATATGGAAGGACAGCCTGCTGTTAAGGAAAGATTCACATTCGTAACCCCTCCCATTTGGGACACAGAATAATGACTTTGTCTGGAATGTATAATTTTTCATAAGCCTCGTCCTTTACTAGATGACAGCACACAGCAATGCCAAAATAATTCATGATGATTCTCCCATTTTCTCTTTGATCAAATGCAAGTGCCATTAAGGTAAATACTTCTATATGCAACCACTCAGCCACAGAGGAAAGATGTGGTATTTTTTAAGTGAGGAACATTCACTACAAGGACACCTGGAAACATAGGATTAAATCTAGCATTAGCTGTACCTGGAACAGATCTGTTGAAATTGGGTTCATTATAGATAAGGCTATAATTAGAAGTTACGATGAACTCTGGAAGAGACAGACCAATCTTTTCTGAATTTGTCCAAGTTTTCTTTATAGCCCCAAGATGATGGCCTTCCCTGACTCATGCATCTGTGAATCCCTTTGGGAAATTTAGCCAGGGACTATAAAATCAAATGTGAAAACAGCCATCTTCAACACTGAAAACCTAGATGCAACAAATCTCTTTGTTAACAGTGTAATTAAAAAAAAACACACACATCTCACTGCATTGTTTACTACATTGTTTAACTGAGCTGGCATCCTCTAGTCTGCAAAATACGGTTAAGAGACCAGTCTGAAAATGAAGATTGTTTGTGTGTGCATGTGCACAAGTGCACACACAGAAACAGAGAAAGGCATTTTCATAACAGCCTAGGAATCTGTTGTTTTAGTTGGGTGTTGTGGCCTGGTAGGTTTTACAGAGTTGATTTCTTGCTAAGGTTATCTGCCGTATTCTTTCTACAACATCGCCTGCTTAATGTGACTTTTCAGGACTGGCTCTGTTCTGCTACCTTTAAGATTACCCTTTAGGTAACCCTTGATATCACAGTTGTTTTTTTCTTGCTTAGTGTTCCAAGGAAAATAATTCTAGTCTTCATGTCCTTTGAGTTATATAATGGTTAATTAACAATTATAGGAAAGCTTTCCAGAAGGCAGATTGGTTTGACAGTATTAAGAGCCTGATTCTGAATGGGAACGCAGCATGCTTTTTCTGATGCTGAGTTCCTACTTTTGCCACAGGGACTCAGTGCCTAGCAGGAGACAATCTGTATCTCTCAGGATTAGGTCCTAAGAGTGTTTGAGTCATCCAATCCAGCTTTTGGATGACCTACAGTAACCATTCTTTCACAGCTCACGTCAGTGTATTAACCTTGCCAATCTTGCCACTTAACCCTCTCAGCCAGTCCCCAGACTATAAAAGCCATTTCCCCTGTCATTACTGTTCTAATGCATAGCGTCAGGGAGCTTGCTGAACTTTTCTTTTGTGAACTGGAAAATCACAATGACCCGTTTCTGTGACCCAGTGGACCTTTTACTTCCATCGTAATAACCATGACTAAGGTGATAGGAGTCACGTCCTGCCATATATATGTAAAGAGATGCAAACAACCTAATTTGATACATCCTGTGCAGATACTTTCATCGAGTGACAAATTGTGCTGGAGTCTGTCAGCTGAAACCGTGCCGTGCTGACTCGAAAAGCAAGGACAGCATTGACGAAAGCCACGCAGAAAAATAAAATAAGAGAGAGAGGATGTCTGTGATCAGCGCTCTGCCGTTTCTCAAACCCATTCACTTCAGACCTCCACGGAGTCTTCCTGGCCGTCAACGCCGGCATACTCTTCCTGCCAGTGAATTCCGGTGCCTCACCCCTGAGGATGCCATTAGTGTATTTGAAATTGAGAGAGAAGGTAAGATGCTAGCTCATCCATCTCCTAGGCTTTCCTAGCTATCTCCAGAAGTACTAAGTTTGGATCTTTTGCTTAGTATTGAATAGGAGAGAAAAGAAACAAAACAAATAGATTGGAAATTGTTTCTTAGCCAAATGTGTTGTATCATCCTAATGCATCGCAAACTGCAGACAGCCAGTTAAAGAAATGAAATTAGAAAGCAGCATCTCCTAGTAAGAGAACTAGAATTGTATCTTTCTTGCACCTTGTTTCCCCAGTGTGGCATGTTATGAAAAATAATTGTGTCAAGAGATCAAAGTGACCAGTATAAGATTGGGAGGAGGCGAAATCAGATTTCTACAAGAGATAGTTGAGAGATGTATTTATGTAACATTTCAATTGAAACAAGAATAAGAGACTGGAGAAACAGTGTCATGCTAAAAATCAGTTCTGAAGCATTAGGAAAGCCAAGACTTGAAGCAAATATTTACCATGTCTGCATTCTCTATGTGTGCAAGGTCTTGTGTTGGTTAAAATTCTGAATTTCAGTGGTGAAATCTGAATATGGGTTCTTTAACCAATGTATTTCTAACCTTATTTGGGCTTCCGTCTTTCGATGAAACATGGATTTTGCAACAGATCCAATTCTTTAAAAACAACAAATTTCTTTGCTAATACCATGTTTCCTGCTGAGGTCCATTAGATCACTGGTTCTTAACCTTGGGTTACTCAGGAGTGTTGGACCGCAACTCTCAGAAGCCTTCACCACCTGCTGTGTTGACTGGGGTTTCTGGGAGTTGCAGTTCAAAAGCATCTGAGTAACAAAGGTTAAGAACCACTGCATTAGATCAATGGTTCCCAACTCTGGGCCCCCAGATGTTCTTAGACTACAACTCTCAGAAATCCTGCTACTGGTGAAGGGAGTTTTAGTGCAAGAACATCTGGGGACCCAAGGTTGGGAACTACTGCATTAGGGCAAAGATTAACTCGGTTCAGCTCTTCCCACTGGGAAGGATTTTTGGAAGCAGTAAGAGGAGGTGGCATTAGTGCTTCAAATTTAAGTTGCTTAAAGTTACAAGAGTCAAGAAAGAGAGGGTGGGAAAGTAATGTTATGATTTTTTAAATGACACCTCAAGAGCATAGCCTGATGCTAGTTGCAGTCCTATAACATCCTTTGTGTGTATGCAAATGTAGGATTTTTTCAGTTCTCAAAAGTGGTAATGCTTTATACTACTTTGGTAGTGGCTTTTTAATCTCAAAGAGTGTTAAAAAGTTGTTTGTTGATCACTATAGGATATTAACAACAATACAAAGTTCTTTGAAATCTTTTGTGGGTGTTCACCAGTACATTTATTCAAGTGCTAGTTCCATTAAACCAGATACAGACCGTTATCCCAGTGAGCTTCAGAGCAGAAGGCTCTGCCACCATAGGAACATCAGATTATACAGTTGGTGCAAACATTACTGTTGCACAAGTGCTGATGTCCATGAAGAAAACTCATCTTCCATTTGCACAATAGCACAATCCCACATTCTCACAGTGGTGAGACTTTCTTCTCAGAAGAGGCTAAACAGGATATAGACCGTAGCCTATACTATTGTATGCTCGGAAAGTTATGGATTTAGACCACAATGAACATGCAGTACCTAAAATTTATCTGAATGATAGTTCTAATTTTGGACTCTCATTCTTAGCATCATCTTCCCTGTTTCCAGAGAACTGGGGCATCGTAACATTAACTTCATTCTCTTGATATTTACAGCATTTATTTCTGTGTCGGGAGACTGCCCCCTCCATTTGGATGAGATTCGCCACTTTCTCAACCTGTGTCCTGAACTGTCTCTTGGTTGGTTTGAAGAAGGCCGACTAGTTGCTTTCATTATTGGCTCTCTCTGGGATCAGGAAAGACTCAGCCAGGTAAGAAACAGCATCCTTTAAAATGCATCTCTTTCCCATTGTGTTCCCCCCAAAATAAGACATGGTCTTATATTAATTTTACTCCAAAAAACGCATTCAGGCTTATTTTCAGGGGGATCCATAGCAACCCAGATAGATCCAATGACCACTTTGAAGCCTTGAAACCTGGTGCTTTCTAGCATCTTGGCTTAGTTGCTGAAAACAGTTACAATAATTGTAGGTCTCCACTTTAACCTTGGGAAGCCAAAACAAAGATAATGCAGGTATCTAAACAGTATGAGAGCTCAGGCTATCAGAACAGAGACATTTTTAGAAGCAAAAAGGAAAAACATGATTACTTCACAATTTTTTTCACTGCTTATGTATTTGATGAGCTGAGATCAAGCTGCAGTGTTTCTTGCAGACCACAACCCCGCCACACACTGTAAAATTCACTCACCCAGCTGGGGAAGGTGCAGAAGCATCGCTGTGTCACCAGGCAGCCATTGCATGGTGCCACAGAGAAGCAAACAAAACAGTGGATTTTTAATTACCACTAGTGTTTGCTTTAAATGATGGTAATGGCAAAGGAGCATGTTCTAGATTCACCCTAGCCCCTGACTTCAACGGTGCAGGACAATTAAGCTCTACTGCTAGACTGGTGAGGTTCGGGGCTATATGATTACCCATACGCTGACTCTCATCACACTGGACTACATGAAGATTAATATGAGATTATATTTTGGTAGTCAAAAGCAATTTGCAGAATTTGAATATATTTTCATATTTTTGAAGAAAAACAGTGGCTTTCTTGTCTAGGGCAGGTGCTGTGGAAGAGAAGTTGAGAATACAGATAGGCAATAGATGTGTACAAACTCAATGAAAAGAAGTTGGAAGTGCAGAAATCGCATCCTGGATTGGTTGGTTGGTTCCCTGAAATTCAGACATTACTGTACCTATATAAACATGTATGAACATATATGGAGGAATTGTTGCTTTAATTCAGTAAAAATTTGAACTTTTCCTTGTCTGTGAACATTCCAACAGACGGTTGTTGTCTGTAGCCTTTAAAAATACATTCCAACAGATATTTGAAAGAATATACTTTTCCCTAAATATTAGCAACACTTGACCTCTTTTTCCTTCCTGAGTCTTGTCATATAAAATTTATTACAGAGGAACGTTAGTGAGCCTTTTGAGTCTTTCTATTTAACAGCTGGACCCTTCGTGCATAAGATGCAGTTATGTGCCTATTTTAAGTATTAGATTCTGCCTAAGCTGGTTGTTCAAGGGATGGATCCATGTCGCTAAGAGCAAATTTCCCCTTCTCTCCTCTCTCTTGGCAGGATGCTTTGACCTTGCACAAACCCCAGGGCACCACAGTCCACATCCATGTTCTGGCAGTACATCGCACTTTCCGCCAGCAAGGCAAGGGTTCCATCTTGATGTGGCGCTACCTACAGTATCTGTGTTGCCTGCCGTATGTGCGTCGAGCCACTTTGATGTGCGAAGATTTCCTTGTCCCTTTTTATTCCAAGTGTGGCTTCAAGGCAGTGGGCCCCTGTGAGATCACTGTGGGCTCACTGAATTTCATAGAGATGATCTATGCTGTGCGCGGCCATGCCTTCATGCGCAGGAACAGTGGCTGCTGAAGTCATGCCTCCCTTTCCCATTCAATTCTAGCTGCTGATCTGGTTGGCTGGAAAGCACAACTTAAGAGTGATTCCCAAGCCTTCAGATGGGACCCCACTAATGAATCAGGGAATTCTGTGGGTGGGCTGCCACAGTTCGGCCTTGCACATCACTGATGGGTCAAACAAGGATGCCCAAAGAGGTTTAATGGATGGATCCCAGTTTTAAGAAGTTTGGGAACCACTGCTACATGCAGATTGGGTTATCAACCCCCCTGATCACATGCTGTCAGTTCCTCCTGTCATCATTGCAGCCATTTTTGAAAAGGAGCAAAACTCTTAAGGCCTATCATTCCCTTTTTATATCTGCCTTTAAAAGTGGTACTTAAAACTTGGTTCAATTTCCTTCTTGTGTCTTAGGTGACTGTCCTGCACCACTGTGTAGATTGGACTATAAAAGGCAACCATCCACCTAGTCTGTTTCTCATCACTTCAGTTTAACTGGAAAGGTGGTAAGAACATGGCAGGTTGGAGCCATAGCTGCTTCGTGCAGGAGGAGCCAAGTGGTTAAGAACATGGCAGGTTGGAGCCATAGCTGTAAAACTTAGCTGTTTCATGCAGGAGGAGCCAAGTGGCTTCCTGTAGATGATGCACTGTGGAATCTTCAGGTCAGAACTGGTTAACTTTTGCAAACTTCATGCACAGTGCTGTTTCACATTAAAGGAGGGCCTTAACTACACCTTTGCTTATATGGCTTAGGTACTAGCATCCTTGTAAACTGCATATGCACTCAACCAAAAATGATAGCAAACTGTGTTAAAAGTCAAACTCCTGCATCCATAATTATGCAAACATGCAATTAGGAATGGAGAGTTTGACTTCTGTCATGCAATTTTCTTCAGCATTCACCTTTGTAGTAAAATGTGGCCAAGGTGTTGCTTCCTTATAGGCCATCCCTTGAAATTAAAAGGGAATTTAGGAAAATAATTGCTGGAGAATTAGAACACTGTAATTAGGCCTTCCATTGCTTGGAATTGCTATTTGCCTTGGGAAAGGAAAATGCTCTCATGAAAAGACTCTCTTTGCAGAGAAGCATTCTCCATTACTTCTCATGCTGGTGGCTGTCTTGTGCTAAACTGCATGGAATCTGTGCTTGTATGTTCTGTAAATATAATGTGCCCTCTGTAGCTATATGTCACAAGGGGCTACTTTCTCAGCTGAGTTCCTGCCAGCTAAAAGCAGGTCCCTGTTTACAAAGAGGTCACCTGGGCTTGCTTTCTTCTAATGTATTTTGTTTCTGCCCTAATCTGACAGCTCCCCAACCGCAGCCCAAATGTTTTAGGGCCTTTCTATTCCTCAGATGCAGTAGAAATGACAGAGTACTGTATAGTGCCTGGCTGTCTTTCCTCCTAGGAAGTTGGAGGATGGAAGAGGAATCCATTACATTTAGAGTACTATGTGTGGATTGTATTCCTTGTAGCATGCAAATTTGTGTGACTAGGAATGTGATACCCTGCTAATGAGAATTCTGCCATTGTCCTGGTACAAATTACTCTTAGAATTCTGGTGTTGCTTGCATAATTTGTAAACCACCCAGAGTGCTTTAGCCCTACGGGGTGGTATATAAGTTGAAACAACAGCAACATTATTCGTTATTAAATGGCTATTTCTAACCCAGTTATGATAACATGAAGGTAGGAGCATTCTCCAGTGCTTGTTGGCATACTTGCCATAATGAGTGGAGGTAAAAGCTTCAGAAGAAAGTTGGCCATATGTGACAGCTTGCTAGCTAATAAGAGCATCTTCTTCATGCCCAGAGTAGATGCCTGTTTCTTTTAGCATCTGGGACTGGTGTAATCTTATGCAAATCTACTGAGAAGAAAGCCCCACTGATTTTAGTGGAGCTTTACTCCATGGAAGGATTGCAGTCCTAATGTTCAGGCAAATACGTATGATACCTGCTAGTGTACATTTCTTTGCCCACTCACAATTGTTGTCTGTTGTTTTCCACTTGCTAATTATCTGTAAATTTATCAAATAAATGTTTTTTGAATGAGTCCTGGGTCTTCTTTTCTCTCCCCAACTCCAAACTTATGTAACACAGCAACAGATGTTGGGAAACAGTTTTGCCAAGAGGAGGAGGTTTTAGATAGTGAGATAGGAGAAGAAAATTGATACAAGAAGCTAAGTTACTCTCCTGCTAATCAGCTGAAGGGCTTATAGCCAGCAGATACTGAAGGAATATCAGTGTAGGATAAAGATGTGAAGGCAGCAACATGGAGAATTATTGGATAAGTAGGGATTAGAGATGGGCATGAGCTGAACCATGACTCAGAAAAACCAACAAAGAGGCCTGGTTTGCGGTTCAGTTTGTGGATCTTGTTTTGCCAAAGCAAAATACTGCCATTTTCCCCTTTGGTGGTTTTTTTTTTTTTTTTGGCTTGGGCAAAAGGGGATGCCCACCTGTCCCTTTCTCCCTGCCTGTCGCTTTCACCTTCCTGCTCCTGCCACCTCCGCCAGTGCCATCTTCAGAGGCAGAAGCTGGCCTGCTGCATCTGTGCATGTGCCCGCCGGCCAGCAGATAGGTGGGTATGTGCAGAGGCAGAAGCTGGCAGGGAAGCCAGGCCAGCTGCCTCCGAAGATGTCATCAGTGGTCCGTGGCAAAGGCAGGCCTACCCAGGTGCAAACCACTTTATTTTCTGGGGGGTTGTATAGGTTCATGGTTAGACACAAACCATTGGTTTTCTGGTTTGTGCTCATCTCTAGTAGGGATGCAAGTCTTCATTTACTTTACTGTTACAGACAAGGAAGATTTGCAGACTTTTTTGGACAAAATGTAAGGTTTTTAATATAAAAAACATTTTTGTGTGTGTGAATGCTGTTGCTGCGGAAAAACACTCTTTTTCACTGTCATAAAGGAGTGAAAATCTTGCAGTTATTGCCCATTTTTCTCCAGTGAGTTTCACAATGTGTCAAGACATCCTTTTGTTTGAGAAAGAGAAAGCAAGACATAAGACCATCAATACAAGCTCTTCTAGCATTAACTGCACTGCATGCGTCACCTCACTGGCAACTGTGGGCCTGAACCGACGGTGGTCTCCCTGTGCAAATGCACTTACAGACTGGAGAAGACTTACATATTTAGCTCTGCAAGTGATACAAGTTGAGAAGAACAACTGCACATAATGCAGCCATGGTCAACCAGATTAGTTATTTGGAGATAATTAAAGGAATATTGGACATTTTGAATTAGCACAAAAACATGTCAGGATCTGAGTTTTAATAGAAAGTAAAATATGATGGACAAGAGGCAGACTGATAAACTTGTAATGGACTTGCTGAAACCCTGTCAGCATAACATATGTACAAGGCTGATGCTGTCATTTGTAGAATGATTTTTTTTCAAACTTTACTTGCTACCTCTATGCCATACATTTTTCTAATGTCTGGGAGCTGCAGGATGGGTGGAGGAAGTCTAACTACTGAACACAGCTGCCACTGGTAATGTTATCATAATAGTGCTGTGGGTTTTTTTTTAAATTAAAGACTTCCTTCCACCCCACAGCTTCCCTGTGATGAAACAGATTACACAGGAGCCACAGGACAGAAGTAAGAAATGCTCAAGTTCTGAATAATCATCTTTGCTGATGACATAATCGACCTTCTGCCAGTGTAGTTACACCAGCAGGATTTCAGCTGCAATATACTGAGTCAGTCATGCTCCAAATGGCCAGTGTTCCTCATAAACCAGGAAAGGGCAATGTGTGGATCCACGTTACTGAACTACCAATCCCATCAGCTGTAGCCAGCAATGCACAGCCAAGATGAAAAATGATGTATTTCAACAAGACTTGAAGGGTGCAAGTTTCCCACCCCTTCCATATGCTTAAAGGAAGGCTGTGGCTGGGTTGATTAATACTGATCAATATAACCAGAGTAACTCAGCCCAATGTTTGGAGCACTCAAAACATTGACTTCCACTGCATACTTGAATGCCAAGCATGTACTATGTCAATTTGGATTAAATAAAAGATAACTGTTTTCCTTACTAAAACCATCCCTTCTCAGTCACCAGAGCAATAGTGGAATACAGATAGCCCAGTTTTTCTTAGATGACTAACCTGCATGGAAGCAATTTGTGGTCTGGCATAAAGAAACAATATCACTTTCACTGGCTTGTTTGAAATTGATGTATTTATTCTAAACAAAAACAATGCCCCCCACCCCATGTTGTTTGTCACTCTAGAAAATGTCTGGCCTCCCTCAAGAGAAGCTCTCCTTCCAACAGGCTCCTCGTAGATACTGGAATGGCTAGAGGCAATTCCGACAGATGGCACAAGATTTCTTTGAAAACATCAGTGCTCTTTTGCCAAAAAACATATTTGGCTATAGTAACACACATAGATTGTAGATGTCTTAAGACAAAAAAAAAACCAAACCATATACAAAAATACCCCTTGGGACAAAAAAAGGGGGATTGTTTTCACAGTACAATTCCTAGTACCACAAAAAAGGCACTAAATGCAGCAAAGACTGCCGTGAAGTCCAAGCACCAACTTATGCCAAAAAAGTATTAGGAAAAGAATTCCCAAAACCAGGAACTGCATTTTAAAAAAAGGAGACCACAGAACCCTGCAGATGGTAAATATAAGCACTTCAATGGGATGGTACTTCACTTTAAGGTGCTGTTTAAAAGTCACTTCCTGGTAGGTATCTGCCCCCCCGAAAGGGCCAGAGGAGCTCCGCAGATGAAGGGTGTCATTGGATCATGCCAGCACATCAGATGGGACTTGACTTAAAAGGCATAGATGGTTGATTATCTTCTACAGTGCAAACTCTGGGGAGGTGGTCCTGACATCAAACTTTTTGCAGACCTGATTATCTGCTGCAGGCACTACACTGGGAGGGCTTCCGGTAACAGGTGAACTCTGAGCCATTTAGAGCTCAAGAGTCAAGGCAGCATTGCATGAATGATCTTGCTCCACAGTAATACCTGCTGATAAAGGCTACCTAATGCCCAGAAGTGTTACAGAGGAAGCTATAAGTGTTTCAGTCTGCTAATACTCTCTCACTCCCACCCAGATAGTAAGGAGATTTGCTCAGCTTCTGCTTCAGCACTTGGTACCTGATGTTTCATGAGCGGTTCCTGGGGAATTCCAAAGGGAGGCTGGGAGCAAAGATACTTTAGTTTGGGCCACAGGCACTGCCCTCCTGCCCATCCTTTGCTCTTCGAAATCTGGCATGTTTCAATTCTCCACTGAGCCCATTCAACAGCCTCCCAACTTCATCAATGCAAGACTTGGTCCAAATCATATTTTTCACAGAACTTGGTAGTGAAAGGCAGGCAGGTTAAATACTCAGTCCATTGCCAGTTGATCGGGTACACGTAGAGCCAGATCACAAGAGATGCAAAGAGGCCAATGAAGACTAGCAGCGAGACAATGATCATGGCCCGTTTGCGGTACTTGTCTACAGTGCCAAAGGTGATATAAGGCAGGAAGGCAAAGGAAAGCAAGAGGCCACTGAGGAAGCCAAAGATATGTGCAATGTTGTCGATCCATGGCAGGAGGCCACAGATAAAGAGAAAAAGGACAATCCCAAAAAGATTCAGGAAAGCCTTCCAGGGTTTCTCTAGGACTTGCCAGCTCTGAATCAGTTCCACAAACAGGCAGGCTAGCAAGCCAAACTGGGATCCTGCTGGCCCCACCTAAGGAGGAAGAGAAACAGTAAAAACACATTATCACAAGATGCACTGTCCTCTCAGTTCAACTTGATTGTCAAACCATTCAGTATCCAGAAGATGTCATGAAGCTTTAACCACCATGGTCTTGTCTAAATTCACAGCTTCAAATTCTAAAGCTACCATTAATTCCACCCAAGCCATCACAGTTGATTTGCTGATCAAGGAACAAAAAGGACAGGTTACTTACCTGTAAACATGGTTCTTCAAGTGGATCTCTATGAATACACACTAGTGGGTAAAGACAGCGCCTGCACTGGCCTCTCAGAATCTTCTAGAGCTATAGGGAAAAGTAACAAAGTTTAAGTTGCCCTGTATTGCGCATGCTCCGCCCGCCAAACCCCAGTTCCATCTGCCCACCACATAGTCGGAGTTGGACTCGACCATACAGTGACGGACAGTGGGGAGGTTGGGCAGGATGTGTGTATTCATAGAGATCCACTTGAAGAACCATGTTTATAGGTAAGTAACCTGTCCTTCTTCAACGTGGTCTCTATGAATCCACACTAGTGGGTGACTAGCAGGCTCACTTACCGGAAGGAGGGCCGTCACTGTAGAACTGATGTAAGCACAGCTCTCCCAAACTTGGTCTCATTCTTGGCCCGGAGGTCCAGTCTGTAATGTGTAACAAAGGTAGACACATTGTACCATGTAGCTGCTCTGGAAATGTCCTGGATGTCAACTCCTCGCAGCAGGGCAGTGGATGTGGCAACAGCTCTGGTGGAATGAGCTCTGAGATCTTCAGGGAGAGGCTTGTTCTGCAATTCATAGGCCAGAGAAATGGTGGAAACCAACCATCTGGACAGAGTAGAAGAAGAAGCAGCGGAACCTTTACGCTGACCATAGAAACAGAGGAACAGTCTTGGAACCTTTCTAAAGTCTTTAGTTCTAGTAACATAATAAGTGAATGCTCTTCGAACATCTAAAGAATGGAGCATGCGCTCAACATCTGAAACTGGATCAGGAAACCAAGTTGGTAATATTAAAGGCTGATTAATGTGGAACTCAGAAACCACTTTAGGAAGAAAAGATACATCAGGGTGTAACACCACCTTGTCCTTAAAATACTGTAGGTATGGGGAGTCCATACGAAGTGCTGCCAATTCACTAGCTCTATGAGCAGAAGTAATGACCACCAGGAATAAAGTCTTGAATGAGAGCAACCGAAGGTCACAGGAAGCCAT